GTGAGGTTGCTCCGATGCTTAAGTCGGTATTGTATTATGGTTGCGAGCTGAAAATTTGAGTGCTATAATGCTAGTGAGCAAATAATTGCGCGTACCTGAGTCTTGGGAGTTGATGCCCTTATATAGCTGGGACACTGTGGGTCTCGCGAAATGCTCCTGGAATATTTGGCTCGTGACGTAGGGATCCTTTCCCGCTTTGGAAGGTAGGTAATGTACCAATTAAGAAGGCTCACTGTTTCCTTCCGATTCGAGCGGGATGAGGATAAGGCCTACAGTTACGTGATGCTATTCCGAGAAGTTTGGAGATGATTGGCGAACTTCTAGGTTTGGTTATGTGGCACCTCAGTGCGCATGGGTACTGAGGCGCCCCAATTACGAAGTGATTTGATATCAAGGTGCTCTGGTTCCAAAGTGACCAAGCTCCCAAGGTCCTGCAAACTGCTGTCGTGGCACCACACGTTGATCTGTCATTTGGCTGGCAGGCCGCATCCACGTGTCCCTTACTCATTAGGTCGGGCCAAATCACCTCTCATCAAGAACCGCATGGAGAAACCCTAGACGAGGCAAGATGGGAAAGATGATAGATAGTGCTTAAGGTATTAGAATGACTAATATATCCTTGCAATAGCAGGACAATTAATACTCTACAGAGGCAATGCAGGGCTCACACACCTGTGATGAGTATAAAATGTCATTTAGGGCCTGTGATGAGCATAAAGTGTTATTCAAAACCTACAATAAGCATAGAACAATGTCACACGCCTATGATGGGCGATAGGTATTGTTCAAAATTGACGATGAATGCTTAAACACCTATTCATAGTTGACTTACGTTTCTTATAGTCATAGCAAGTTATGATGAGGCGTCTCAAGGATGGCTACTAAGATACCCGAACATGTTGGCCACCTACCAAAATCTCATCCCTGGCACATGGCCTCATGAAGGGGTGTAGCCAACACGTGCTATGTGAGAATCTGCGAGGAAACAAAAACTTTATTCTCAAATGATCTTGTTGGACACATAGTGAAACTCTAGTGGAATTTACTTAATCGCTAACGTGAGATCCAAGACTCCCTTCCCTAATGGGAAAAGTTCTCTTTGGGACTTTTCTCTTTATAGCCTTGGGATCTCTTCTATGAAAAGGAGAAGATACAAACTGCAGGACACACGAGAATCTTCAGAATTCCCTAGGGCTATGTTTGGTTTGAAGGAAAAGGTAGAGAAACATATACAAGGTTTGTAAAGGTTTCCCTACCTTTTCCTTCAAACCAAACACAGCCTAGATGAAAACCTCTCAACCCACTCTCCCCAAAGAATTAAACCTACCTGTAACTCTGACTCGAGATCAACTCCATCTTGGTCTCTCAAGGAGACCATTCTCTATCGTGTTACCACCATACTTTACAACGTCTTATGCAGTGGTAGGGGGTGTCAAGTTAAACAAGAAAATGAGATAGGGAATAGATAGGTAGAGTTTGGAGAGAAATGGAACCGACACAAATGTTTGAATCTATTACAGATTTTTTTTTTAAGAAAAAATAAACAAAATATTTTGATTTTAGGAATTGGAGGAATATTATATAGTAATCCTCAACATTCTAGTTGGATTTTCCAGTTTTGGGAGGCCAAGGACACAATTACATTTCTGACCCTAATCCTACATCCACTTATATAAATAATAAATAATGGTTTTAATAAGTTTAGGGGAACAAAGACCCCACCAATATACTTGGCTCTGCTCATATGGACGTAGTAGGAACATAAAAAATTCACCATTAAGATTTTGTTTTGCATTCTCTGCATTAAGATTTTTGGTCAATGCTTTCTTCTTTTTTTTATTTAATAGAGAAACATGCATTGTATGGTCTACTGAGAATTCAGTTGATTTCTATCTTTCATATGATTCCTATTTTAATGGCGGTCAAAAGGGGAAAACTCTTTTTTTTAAGGGTTACACAATGGGGGTAGTTCATCCCCCACCCCATGACCCCCTAGGGATGGCAATTTCTATCCTATCCGATGGGTATTTGTCCCAACCCTCTCCGATGGGGTGGGTTTTTTTTTTTGTTTGAAGGATGAGTTTTGGGGTGGGGACGAGTTTTAGGATTCTACAACCCGTAGGGTACGGTATTAGGCTAAATTCGAGCCTCCCCTATTCACGTATCGTTGGAAAGCATATAAACTTTTTGTGCCAAGTGTTGAATTTAATAATATTCTGAATATAGTTTTTTTTTTCTATATGTCTTAATCAAATAATTGAAACTTTTGTTGTTTATTTGTATTATTTTACTTATTTATTATTTATATATGATAAAAAATAATAAAAAATTAGATATAAACTCTAAATACAACCCACCCCTACCATTGAATGCAAGAAAGATAGGGTTGGGGAGGATTTTGCATTTTCATGTAGGGTTTTGCATTTTAGGGCAGGTGCAGGCGGGGTTCTGTCCCGGGTCTCCAGTCCATTACAACCAGCTGGAGACCTTACCACAGGTTTTTCATGACCTGTTTCGTACAACCCATACACTTTTTTTATGTGTCCTATTAACTCAACCCATTTGCAATATAAAGAGTTAAGACCCATCCACTGTATGGGTATTAGACATTATTTGAACCGTTTGTGGTCCCAGGTCTGTACCCTATGTGGATTCACACTAACGTACACTGTATGCATTAACTGAATAAATTAATAATTAGCAGGGCCCGTACAATGCACGAGAAAATTAGATATGAAATTCGGGTTTTATAGGTGAGAATCTCAAATTCAAGTCTACTAATTAATTAATTAATTCATAGTAATTTCTGTTAATAGTAATATGTGCAAATGTTTATTGAAGACCTGAAATATAGTGAATTTCTGTTAATATAATTTATCTTAATTACAGTTAATTAACACTAGTTAATAGCATTGCAGTAATAATTGACAGTAACAAATCGAATTAATAGTTTAATATCAATCCTACATTTCATGGCATAATGTTGAATCTATTCACTATATACACTTAAGTAAGATGTGATTTAATAAAATTTTGAAGCAAGCGTACTTGTATAGAGTAGATAATGATGTGGCCTTTATAATGAAAAAACCTGCTAAAAAATCCAAATTTAAGTACTGACAAATTATATATAATTACTCTATTTTCTGAAATTTCAATTAATTTACTATTCAATTAATTAAAAAAATGAAATACGCTTATTTAAATTATTAAATGCATCAAAAAACTGATGTTTTGGCTAATTATTAGCTTACAATCTCAATACATTTTAAATTCTATTTAAGTATAATTTAAGATCCATTTGAAAATAGCGGCATAAATAGAATTGAAATTAATGAATAAGATCAATAAAACTGATTTTAAGGTTAATTAATTGATAAAATAAAAATTATTAATTAATTGGAAAAAATGAATGTAGAATAAATTTATGTTTGTAAAAGGCAAAAAGGAAATTGGCCACCCTAATCACTATGGGTGCAAGATCGATGGGCTCAAGTTGAGAATTTTTCAAAACTTCAATGGGTTGAGCCCCAAAGCCCAAAGTTGACAATGTAAATTCCTCAAATTTGATACCTGATATACGCCCTTAAAGTTGAGTTTGATCCAATCAGCTACACATAACCCAAAAATAATATTTGGTTAGACTTGGACAGGTTTGGCGTAATTGAGAATGTCAATGGGCTCATTCTACATTTTCCTTAGATCCATTTTCGTTGACCATTCTCTGGTTGAGTTAAATGGTTCATTTTAAATTTATTTCCCGAGCAATGTGTGACCTGTGAAGTTAATGAAAATTTTAACAAAGATTACATTAGCAAAACTCACTTTATTTATATTTAATTATAACTTGAGAAAACTTAAATTCCCTTTAATTATTTATTCAGAATAAATTTTATTAAAAATGAAAGTAGAATTAATATATGATTGTTATTATTTTGAGATGTGTTAACAAAAATAGAATTAATAAAATATGATAAAAATGACAAAAATTAAGACAAATAATAAAAATGAACACAAATTTATCTAACAACTTTTAACCCAAAAAAATAAATTGCATTGGACTTGGTACCACTTGGTTCAATTGATATTATCATAAGACYCCTGCCACAATTTTTTTTAACAACACTTGTATATCATATCAAATCGGGCTAGTACATTTATGTATATAGATATATTTTTTAAAATTTTTCTTTGATAAACAAATTTCATGCTGTCCCACGAGTCCGACTCCTCCCTGTTCTGCTGTGTCGTGCCATCGCGACCCATTACAGTGTGGGTAACATAAAAGAGAAAATTCTTAATCAGTACCTTGCACTTTGGGGGTTGTATCCAGTCCCCAAACTTTAAAATATGTCTCTGTAATACCTTGAATTTTCAAATAAAGAAAGGAAAGAATGGTTACACTGATCAACTGTGGAAACTCTCTTTCCCCGAACGTGTGAAAAAAAAATTGCAAGAACTCAACATTAACAAACGCGATAGTTCTCCACCACGGCCACATCTAAAGTGCTGCCATTTCAAACTGATTCTTGAATTGATTTATATAGAAGTGACAAATAAAAAAAAAAAATATATGACACCTGATGGATATTTCTGTTATTTCATTTATCCGTCATTATGTGTTAACAGATTGGGACTTATTAGATAGAATTTGAAGAAGAGACATTTTAAACTTGGAAAGCTAACTTTACACAACCCCTAACCCCTAAAGCAAGTAGAGCGTAAATTTTTGAGAGAATCTGAAATGCAGTAGGCCTGTCCTTACTAATACATAATTTTTTCCTAATAAAATCGATGTCTTAATGGTCTGGCACTGCCAACATTACACCTGTACTCTAACGATCGTACTTGTTCTGTTACCCTGGTTCAGATTGTATGTATCTCTGACCAAAATAATGAATGAAATTTGGCATCACCGCGTGCTATATTTGCCATATGTACAGTACTGTTAGTAATGTCTAAAAATCAACGGAGAAATACCGACAGGCCCAAATGTTAAATACCACCGACATTACTTTCTTCCAACAGTTAACGATCATGGCTGTAACAGAAGGAGCTTTTCTTAGGCATGTTTTCTGGTCACTGAATCTCCTTTTAATATCCCACATGGTGAGAATGAGATGCAGCCCTCCGGAGGATCCAATAAAATGTTCACCACCAAGTACGAGCAATTGCACGATCACCAATTCATATGGCGCTTTCCCCGATCGAAGCGTGTGTCGAGCGGCCGAGGTGGTTTACCCAATCTCGGAGGAAGAGCTCATATCAGTAGTCGCCAATGCTACGATGAGAAAGAGAAAGATGAAGGTGGTGACTCGTTACTCCCACAGTATACCCAAACTGGTTTGTCCGGACGGTCAGGACGGCTTGCTCATAAGCACCAAGTATCTCCGTCAAATTTTGAAGGTGGACGCAACGGCGATGAGGATGACCGTGGAAAGTGGTGTGACGCTGAGGGAGTTGATTGACGAGGCAGCAAATAAGGCTGGGCTGGCGCTGCCTTATACGCCTTACTGGTGGGGCTTGACGGTTGGTGGTCTCCTTGGCACCGGTGCCCACGGTAGCTCTTTATGGGGAAAGGGGAGTTCTGTCCATGACTACGTGATCGGCCTTCGAATCGTCACTCCTGCCGGACCCAACCAGGGTTATGCTGTGGTCCGAGTCCTGGATAACAGTCACGATGACATTAACGCGGCTAAGCTGTCGCTTGGGGTCCTTGGGGTCGTTTCACAGGTAAACCAACTCTCTTCCATTTCTGTTTCTCTCTGTTAATTTGGAATCGGGAGTTGCTCTCACTTTGCGTTCCTCGTACCGACCTCACAGCACTGTCCCAACGGAAAAATAATAACACACATGTTCTCGGCTGTGACGTACCGTGAGATTGGTGTGAGGATCCGATCCGGACTCGTTAATTAATTTGGGGTTAGGGTTACACTGGAATAAGAACTAGGATGATGGATGCAAGTACGTCCTTTAGATTTGGAAAATGCTAGTGTGAAACCAGTATGAGTCTCATACGGCCATTAATGGAATCTGAATGTCCAATGCTCCATTTGACTCTAAAAATTTTAATATCTAATTTGATATTGTGTATAAATTAATTATATTGGATTTGGATGTTGGAACCCAAGCCCGTGTTGCCACATGTCCTGAAATGAACCAAAGAACTGTTGATCACTCGAATTGCCCTAACTACTTATCTGACCCAATGCTCATCTTCTTGTATGACTAGGACTCCTCGGCAGCACGACATCTCTCCTATATGGCCTCCTCAGATAAAAGGTACACAATATATAACGCTCTCAAGCCCCATACTTACTTGCTTTCCTCACCAACCAACCTCCTTGACTTACCCCGACAACCCCTTGCTCACTAACTTAATCGGGGACATACCTCAAGACCTTCCCATTTTGTCAGTCTACGAAAATAGCTCGGGTCGACCATTAAACTTGGTTCATCCTCTTGCTCTTTATTTGTTGGTTAGATTTTGATTACAACAAATTGGCGTCGTTTGTGGGAACTGAACAAAGAAGCTATATCATCGTATTTCCGAAGACACACACCAACACCAATGGAGACTCGAACCAACCCCTCTCCTAACTAACCAAGGAACACCTTAATAGCAAGATAAGATTCCAAGCATTCGATTGGCTAGTGCTATTGCATTGTCAGCCGAACTGAATAATCACTCAAGCTATCAAAACAAGTAGGGGTACCTTAACCACCCAACCACTCAGTGCAACTACAACGATATATGACCAGAACCACCCTAGAATAACCATAGACCTTGGGCCTTGAGTAATCAAACCTATCATCTAGAATCTCAACATGACAAGTAACAAGCTCCACGGGTACGAAAGATCCAAATTAACAACCTCATCTAGACCCTAAAGGCTCTAAATTATGGATGTTACACCCCTCTAAATGTCTCTCAGATGCAAATCGTGTTCGAAGCTTGAGATAAACTCTTCCTTACGTGGCTTCACAATCTCAAATCTAACCAAGGAGATTAGGACAGATATTACAAATTTGATTGAGACCATAGACACGACACCAAGAACTGTCAAACTAAAGAACGAAATTGAGCACCTCGTCCAACAAGAATAGCTCAATCATCACACCTCTCATAAATGATAAAAGAAAGATAAGACAAAGGGACAAGTACAAGATCCCGATAACAAGCCAACGAGAAATGTAAGACATATCATCTCCGAAATATGAAGAAGCCTTGGCTTTCATAGTGATGAACTCACTAATATTGCCTGTATGTTCCAATTTAAGTTTTAATAAAATTCGATTTTCATTACAAATATCTTCCTTTACAAGCATGATGACTAGGCCCTGAACCTCCAAGGACATAGACCTAAATAAGCTAGACTTAACAGGGAATGGCGGTTGAATACCAAAGCCGAAGCCACCTAGCTACAAGTATAAACCACGAAGGCCACTCGATGGAGCAATGGGGTGGTCAGCCCTGGTTGTATCACCTAAGTTATCACGACAACCAAGCCACCACCAAGCGTGTCTCACCTAAAGACTTAATTGAGTTAAGGCCCAGTAGGTAATGTAGCCTAGCAGTTAAGTCGCCAACTTGGACTTTGTCCACGAATGGGTTGCACTGATAGGCCAAAAGTTGGTTACCAATATAAGCTAAACTCACCTATAAGGTTTAGAAGGTTTAGCCAAGGAATTGAACAACTCAAATAGAAAAGACCTCATATAGGTTAGCTGAATAGACCAACATAGCAATACCAAAGAGTTGAGCCATATCAGCCATCAACTTGACTTGCAAAGGCCCCGGGTGAGCCACTTTAACAAGTCCACTCAACCAGGCCAACTCGGCTTTCAACCGTGTACAATTATAATGACCTTATATATGCCACCTCAGTAAAGAAATTAAGGAAACAACTAGGTATGTGGGATTCAAGTCATAAGAGCTAATTTCAAAACAAAAGAGAGGAATCACGTCGAACAAGGGTACACATCGTTAGTCCTTGGTGTAACCGACTCCTCAACAATGAGAGATTTATGGTTATCGCAAGTGTAGGGATGTTAACACCCAATTTTTGCTTTGTCCCTTCACTTTACGTCATACCCTCCTTTTAGACCCCCAAACTTGAAAATATAACCAGACTAATTTGAGACCTGTCAAAACCAAAAAAATCCCCCTTTAAGTGAAACCCCATAATTACGTGTTGAATTTCATCACCAAACTCTCATTGGATGCACAAAACCCATGAAAATTAACCCCAAATAGAAGAGAAACCTTTCACCAAGAAGGAAGATTGACTGAGCACCCTTTTTTTTTTCAAATCTTTGCCCTTTTTCATGAAGAAGTTGTCTTGAAGCCTAGGTTCTTTGATTGGGCGAATTTCACACATGTTCCCTTCTTTTCTCTATAAATAAAGACCCAATTCAAGCTCTAAGGGCGATCTTTTAAAGAACCATCAAAGAGAGACTTAGGAAGCATCTCTATCCTCTATAGAAACCACATTCTACAAAAAATCTCCAAGCACTTGAACCCCAGACTTCAAATTTGCCTCCCCTGTTTTCAAACTGGAGATTAGCAACCAGAAGCACTCCACAACTCAATAGCTCATGCAAGCATCCTCCCAACTCATTCCCGCTATTGGAGAACCTTTGTTAAGGTTACACACACGGGAGGTAAGCCTCTCACCCTCCCATTTAACTTAAATTCATATTCCTATTTTTCGTGTGGTTCTGAATTACTAGAAGTCCTGAAACCATGGAGAACTCACATTCCTAGTTTCCTCTAGTCTAAGAAAATGAGATAGAGAGGCGAGGGTCTTAGGAAAATTAGTACCTAAGACCTAATGGCATAACCTAAAATCAGTTGGGAGGGTTTTTCTCCAGATTTCATAAATTCTTAGCAATCATTTTACTAGTTTTTCGTTAGAAATTGAACCTAAACCACTCTCGTTTAGGCTACTACAATAACTTGGAGAGATGGATGCCTAACACTTTCCCTCTCCCAATCCTTGTAATCCAAAATCTATCGGTTGAGTGCCTTAGATGTGGAGAAATGGAGTCACTATCAAGAATGTAAAATCAAAATTTTGAATTTGAAGTGAGGGCCCATTTCCTTTGATAAATGGGTGGTAACTGCCTTTGTTTGAGCCGACCATGAGCTTTTCGAAGCTCACAAGGGGTGCAAATTGGGTGGCTTGGCTCACTATCGAGCTTAAGCATAGTTGAGGTCGAACATATGAGATTTTGAGTTGAGTTGAATTCTAGCTCATATTTCTATCTCGAATCAAGCTCAAGCCCGAACATGAGCCTCATGTTTTTCTATTGAGCCGAGCTCAAATAGCCTAATATTCAATTTGGCTCAGCTTCAATCCACCCCTACCTAATTGGACTATTCTCAGAAGCTCCCTATGCAATTCTATGTATTTGTGCCATGTAAACAAACTCTTTATCTAATTTAAACTGTATGCCAATTTAGTTAAGTACCCTCTAGTGAACCTAATTGGTTTACTTTCTCCGTTTATACGACCCTTGTAGAAAACTTTGTATATTTTCCCAACCTTTTTTAGTAAATAAGCTCTTCAGTATTAGTAGGGCTGCAAACTGTAACAGATTGTCCAAATTAAATGAATTCAATCCCATTAAGGTTCATCCAAATTTGGTCCTTTTTATAATTGGATCTAATATGGATCCACCCCTATTCCATCCCATAAAATTCATTGGTTCATCAATTTAAATATACATTGCTCATATATACTTGAAATTTATAGTGTATCTATTTATAAAGTTGGTTTGAATGTTGTGCTTTCACCAAATTGTCATGTTCAAGTTCCATATATGTTATATTTTGATCCATTTGGTTCATGAAATACAATCAGTCTAGTCCATTTTATTAATAGTATATGATATTTTTGATCATTTTCGTTTAATTTATTAACACCGTTTAATATCCGATTGCAATACCAATTCAATTTGAATTCGATATAAATCCAATGGCTATGATCCAATTCAAATTTGAATACAAACAAACCTAATTACCAGAGTAGAGACAAATACAAGATGGAACAGAACAGAACAGAACAGAAGAGAAAAAAAAAACAGAGTAAAACAACACACCACAGCAATTAGATCTAGAACCTAATAGGACTTGGAGAACTCACATTAATACTTGAAATGTCTTTAACCAGAACAGCTGACAGCCATCTTGGGAGAACTTCAGTGAACTGAAACTCCGCATGCATCCATGATCCATCCCTATGTTGGCCATTGCATGAGCAGTTCCACTGGAGTCTCTGGAGTAGGAATCCAATGTTGGAACTTGACAGACCTACCTGCACCTGCACTGCTGCACTAAAAGACTGGATATCTATGCACAGGAAGAATATATTATATCCTGATGACCCGAATCATCCACACCAGTAAGGCTGATTACAAGCCGCATATTATCAGTTTCAAAAATAGCCTTATTCATAGAGTCAACAACAAAAATTTTAGAGCTTCCAGCATAGCTTTGGCCTCAGCAACGAGAGGCGAATCAAATTGACAAGGACCAGACCTATTGGCTCCCCAATAGAATGCTTTAAAGAATTTATTGGCATTAACAGAACCATCATCAATATTGATTTCAAAGCTCCCACTTCAGGTGACTCCCAGAAAGAAACCTGACAAGACTTGGTCTTAACCTAAGAATGGTTTGCTAATCTCAAATTCAAGGTCTAAGATGTCTCCACTATTGACCTGCACTCCAATGGCAAAAATCACATCCAAACTTGAAGTAATACTTGGGTCCTGGAACTAATAGATGTGGAAATCCTCTGATCAATCGGCCTAGGTTACATTCGAGTTGCAGCCTCTTTTCAAACGGTCTATCACCAACTTGGTAAAAAGCGACTCAGACTTGGGAGAACAGGCTCTTAACTTCGGCAAACAACACGAGTATGCAGACATGGCATGGTATCCCAGTCAACAGAAGGTAGTCTACCGAATTGATGACCGGGTCTCCTCCAATGTCTCCGGTAATGGATTCAACAACTTTATTGGATTCCGTTCCACGCCTTCACTCACTTTGGCAATGATAAGATCTACAGGTATTCTACAATCATTTTCTGGATGATATATATATATATTCCCTTACTCCCTTCCAGTGCATTAACTGTCGATTGTTCTCTGAGTTGAAATTAATCTCCCCTGTACGTTGTTTGTATAAACAGAGGAGACTCAAGAATCAACAAGCGATGCGGATGCAAAGTGTCTCACTTCGCAGATAACAACGTCCACATTGATGGCTAATGGATACGGGCTGACAAATGACGGTATCTCTTTTACTGGGTATCCAGTAATTGGATATCACAACCTCCTGCAAGCATCTGGAACCTGCCTTGATAGCCCAGAAGATTCCCTCGTCACTGCTTGTCCATGGGACCCCAGGGTTAAGAGTCAGTTCTTTCATCAAACAGCGATTAGCATTGGATTAAACAAAGTTAGGAACTTCATTGAAGACGTGCAGAAGCTAGTAGCCATGGAGCCCAAGGCCATGTGTGGTTTGGAGCTCAATAATGGGATTTTAATGCGATATGTGAAGGCCTCCAACGCCTATCTGGGTAAACAGGAGGATGCAATTGACTTTGACATGACTTACTACAGAAGCAGAAACCCAATGACCCCTAGGCTCTTCGAGGACATACTTGAAGAGGTCGAGCAGCTTGCACTGTTCAAGTATGGAGGGCTACCACACTGGGGAAAGAATCGGAACCTTGCATTTGATGATGTAATAAACAAATATCGGAACGCCAGAGCATTCTTACAAGTGAGAGAGAGGTATGATCCCTTGGGGCTATTCTCTAGTGAATGGACGGACCAAGTTCTTGGATTACAGAAAGGGGTAGCTATAAACAAGGAGGGTTGTGCTCTGGAAGGTTTATGTATATGCTCACAGGACATCCACTGTGCCCCAGATAAGGGTTACTTCTGTCGAGCAGGTAGAGTGTATAAGGATGCCCGGGTTTGTACACGCTTGATCTCTTAAATGAACTAGCAATTCCTCTATTTGGACAATAAATTTATGAATCAGGTATCATTATTAACAGTTTGCAAGCAGTTCCCCTGATTCTTTGAGTGGAACTGGAACCAATCTAATGGTTGATGAATTGAAAAAACAAAAACGTCTAGAAGATGTTTGTCATGTTGTCTTCGCTAAAGAGACCCAAATAATATCAAAACCAGTGAAAATACATATTTCCATCTCTCTCTTGAAGATCTTCCAGAGTGATCCATATCCAATCTGTTTAAATGGAATTATGCATTTGGTGGGATCAATACATGGGATAAAATTTGATTCAGGGCGGAAGGAATATCAGCATAAAATCCGTTACTGGAATATGCACTTTGGCTCCGAGAAATAGTCCTGAAGACGTACAATACTTCTACTTTTAATTACGACAATTGGACAAGAAAGTCGTTGTAGTATAGTGGTGAGTATTCCCGCCTGTCACGCGGGTGACCCGGGTTCGATCCCCGGCAACGGCGATATCATGTTTTGCCAAAAATGTTATGAAATTGAAATATCACTACTCACGAATTTCAAACTTTTATTTTACAAAATAATTGATCAAGTTTCTCCTATTTCCAACTTAAATCATGTTTACAAAACAGTCCGGGAAAACAGTTACAGATCTTAGACAAAATTATCCTCTATTCAAAATATTGACCCTTCTATGTGTTTTCATTCTATTTATCTTTTTTTTATCATCCAACCAAAGATTTTTTTCAAAAACATTATTTTATATTGATTTCTGATGAGGTGTAATTTGCTCCTCCAATGATATTGCGACTCGTGGCATTGGATAATATTAGAGTGACACCTCGACTTCATGTAAGCAGATCCCAGGAGCACCTCAGACACTTCACAACTGCATCAACGACCTTGGTATCACCCTAGTAGGCTGAACTACGAATAACTAGGCAAGACCTCAGGTCGGCATAAGAGACGACCTGCTTTCATCGATCCAACCTGACTTTGGTAGCGACTTGCTTGATGTGCCGAGTGACCTCCCCTTAAGCGGACTATCGCCTCCGAATAACCCGGTATCACGATACCACGTTGGAAGAACTGGTTATCAATTTATCACCCCACCCACTTCAGGTGGGATTGGATAAACATTACTTGGTTACATGGAGTCCACATCTAGCATGAAAACACCTGAAAACCAGATAGGTCAGAAATCCCAGACGCATTTCATGAGGCTTATGGCAACTCACCTATATAAGGGCCTCACCTCCAACCTCATAAGGTACATGCAATTTAGCACTCAAGATCTCTAGTTCTCTTTTGCTTTCTATTTTTTAGAAAACTCTAGTTCGCTAACTTAAGCATCGGAGTGCCCACAATGGGTAAAGTAACACAGGTACTATGATCTTTTCGCTCTTTCCTTATAGCTCAACCAGGCGACCCATCTAGCCTGACATCCAAGCCATCATCCAGTAAGGACCTGCTAGATCGTGCACCATCAATTGGTGTCGTTTGTGGGAAACGCTACACAAAAGTCGTACTCTCACACTTTCTTTCCAAGTACTTCTTCAATGGCATCTTCTAACAACACTCCAGTCAACAACCCTGTTAACAACAACAAATCAGTCATAGGGGGCAGGACCAACCCCCTGTGCACCTCGAGGTCCCCTTTGTGACTATTGGGCAGTTCACTATCCCCTTGACCTTATTAGGTGTCTTCATCATGCTCATTCCCAACTTTCCTCTATCTAATGTGGACGCGCCTCTCCCGCCAATCAAGCCCTTAGCAGTTCCTATTGGGATCGATGCACGCTAGTTCAATGAGTTGATGTAGTACGTCCTCAAGACAAACCTGTAAATGAGAACATGGGAAGGTCATTTTGTTGCCCTAATAGGGATGCAACAGCAACAACAATAGCAGTAGCAACAACACTGACGAGATCAAGCTGCTGAGCAGAACGACGGCCAAAACTAGAACTAACAACTTGGCAATCAGAATCAGAACCTAGTACCTAACCCACCTCGTCGCTTCGACAACTAGAACCAAGTCCCAGTAGAGGAACAAAACCAGCCACAACACCGATTAGGACTGAAGCCACCAACTTGACCGAAGGGTCACGGAGAAGGCGCCATAGACGCAGACGCCGTGCCCTAGGAAAAAGCTTCCTTGCCCCAAATGACAACGAGGAGGTAGAGAAAAAGAAGGGAAGGAAGCCACCTCGTCAACACAGCTAGTGTCCCAGACTTCACCACTGGCTGATGAGATCCTCATGGCCCCACGACCGAAAGACTTCAAGGCCCCTAGCCTAAAATCCTACTATCGGACAACCGACCCAACCAACCACGCTGAGATCTTCTAGGCCCTGATGTAGCTACACAGGGTAAACAACACGAGCCTTTGGATGGCCTTCCCGACCACTTTCTAGGGCATAGCTTGGATGTAGTATTCAAGGCTGGCCGCGGGCTTCATCAAAAGTTGGAACCAGTTCGCTGACATGTTTACTACACACTTCGCTACAAGTAAGCGATGCCTAAAGTCCACGACCTACTGCTCAATGTCGTCCAACAACCTGAAGAGAAGCTTCGGGATTAATTTAAACGGTTCAACCTAGAGCAACTTCACAATCACCTCGACCCAGCCATCGAGCTCACTGTAGTGGTCAACGGCTTCCGACACCCCAACTTGCACTGGGAGATCGAGTTGAACCCTCCAGCCTCTATGGAGAAGTTCTTTAACCAAGCGGCCAAGTTTACGAAGACCAAAGAAGCAATTGGATCCCGATTGGAGTTGAACAGCAAATGGAAGAGGTCATAAGACGAGTTGTGGAGTAGCAAACAGTGATGGAAGAGCAAGTCACCAAGGCGCAATAGGTCCCCCTGCAACCGACATAGTAGGTCGCCGCGAAGAAGAACCAGGTCTTTGTATAAAAGTAGTAGATCCTCGGGTCAGCGTTCTCGCACCCCCCGGTACAGAACCATAACTACATCGCGCTAAATGCGAAGAGGGGGGAATTCTGGTGTAGATCAAGCCGACCGAGTACGACATATAGCCATCTCGGATGATAGAAAACCCCGCCAATCGGAACTTGAACAAATATTGCCACTTTGATCAGGACATTGACCACAACGCTGAGAATTGTCATAACCTCAAGGACGAAATTGAGGAGCTGATTTGTCAAGATTTTTTGAAGCAGTTCATCAAGTAGGAGGATTGAAGCTGACCTGCCGACCAGCTAAGAGAAGTGCCATAGTGGAGCAAGGACTGGAATAGAGACCAGCCTCCTCGAGACACACCACCAGTAGAGCGGCCCATCCGTAGTGTTATTAGCATGATCATGGGAGGGTCCACAGTGGTAGGATACAACACCTTGACAAGAAAAAACTTAGTTTGGGAGCTTGAGCATGAGGATGAGAACTCGCTGAAGCAACCTCGTGTGGAGGAAGAGATTTACTTCACCGAGGATGACGCCCGCGGGATCCAGTATCTGCATGAAAATGGCCTCGTAGTCAAGTTAGTCATAAGCGATTTCGAGGTAAAGCGGATTCTAGTCATCTTCGGAAGTTTGGCCGATATCGTTTTCTTGGAGGCATTTAAGCGGGTGGAGCTTGAAAGGAAAGACTTGCAGCCGGCCGATGTGCCCCTAGTCGGCTTTAGGGGAAGAATGGTCCAGCCTCTAGGCCAAGTGAGAGTGCCAGTAACAATGGGATTAATACTATATTCAGTACACTTCGATAACAACCTTTTAGTAGTTGCGACGCCCTTGCCCTACAATGCCATTTTGGGCCGACCTATCTTACATGCCCTCTGAGTAGTAGTATCAACCTACTACCTATTGATGAAGTTTCCGACAGATTATAGAGTAGGAGTGGTTCAAGGTGATAAACTTGAGTCTCGCAAGTGTTATGTGGCCGCATTGAAGGGCAAAGGAAAGCATGCTACCGACATTGACTTGGAGCTGCCTCAAGAGAATGGCGACGAGAGGACTCACCCCATGGAGGACACCGTGAGTGTAGATTGTAGATCGCCATCCGACCCCAAGAAGACAGTGCAGATTGGAGATCACCTCACGGAACCACTATGCTTTGACTTGGAAAGTTTTTTAATTAAAAATATACATGTTTTTGCTTGGTCTTCAGTCGAAATTCCTGACTTAGACCCCTCTGTCATAATTCATAGGCTAAATGTTAACCCTTTAGTCAAACCAGTCCGAGAGAGGAAGAGGAACCTTGCCCAGGAGCAGTGGAGGATAGTAGATGAGGAGGTCGGGAAGCTCTTCACAACAGACTTTGTTAGAGAGGTCTAATACTCAAGCTGAATTGTCAATCTCATGCTCGTGAAGAAAGCCAATGGCAAGTGGCGCAAATGCATCGACTACACCAACCTCAACTAAGCTTGCCCAAAGGATAGCTTCCCACTCCCTAGAATTGACCGCTAGGTAGACGCGACCTCAGGGTTTGAACTGTTGGGTTTCATGGATGCATAATTTGGCTACAACCAAATCTAGATGGATCCGACCAATAAATGGGCTTGTACTGTTATAAAGCTATGCCCTTTGGTTTGACAAATGCTAGAACGACCTTCCAATGCATTGTAAAGAAAGTTTTTTTCTGATTTAATTGGAAATAAAGTTGAGGCTAATGTTGATGATATGGTTGTGAAAACCTAGTTTTTGAACTCTTTAATTTCCGATCTTAATTTTATTTTTGACATTATAAAGAAAATGCAACATGAAACTCAACCCAAACAAGTGCGTCTTCGAGGTCACGTCGAGCAAGTTCCTCGAATACATAGTAAACTGACATGGCATCGATGCCAACCCGGATAAAATCCAAGCCGTCCTAGATATGAGACCCCCTAGGTTGACTAAAGAAGTTCAAAGTTTAATAGGTCGGATAGCTGCCCTAAATCAGTTTATATCTAAGTCGGCTTAACAGTCCCTTCTGTTTTTCAAGGCCAAAAAAAAAGAACTAAGACTTTGAGTGGATTGAAGAGTGCCAACTCGCTTTTAACAAGATCAAGAGGTTCCTCAGTTCGCCA